CTACTTCTCCTTTCAACTGGAAATTGTGTTCCTTTTGCTTCTTCAAGAAATGAAATTAATGAGATTTGGATTGATATTCCTGCCTATTTGAACAAGCTGGTAAGATTATAGGCAGCACTGTGTATGGTAGGTGAAATCTGGGTCGATCAATATATTGATTGTCTTCGATCATTTTTTGAAATCCTGCATAAGTAGGCAATGAACACTGGGACGCTGTATGTTTTTCACTTCCGCTTCTCAAACGGTTCCAAGCAAACAACAAGTCGATGAATCTGTCAACGAAATATCGATTTTCTACCCACATATGAAGAATTGATCTTCCTTTTTTCCTTCTTTCCTATTTCCAAATACTTTTGAAGTGATTTTCTGGTTGAGGAATAAATCTGGGATTATCGGAAAAAACTACCACGACTTCAGTAGTGCAATTTCAAGATCAATCAATATATTGATTTGCATTACAACCGCAGTTAGAGTAGCCCAAGGTGCTGAATGCCCAATCATGCCATCAATCAATATATGGATCGTCCACAAAACTTGGTTCTGACCCCCTTCCGAGTGGTTTTCCCTGCACCCACGTGAAAGACTATGTCTTGGGGGACTAGTACTCTGATGCTTAGCAATGCAGTGAATGGATAACGACGCGAAATCGTAAGCATGCAAAACGTGTGTCAATTAATATGCACACTTTGAATAGCACTAAGAAAAAAGAGGAAAACTTACACTTGTTGACCTCGCAGTTCTTCTCAAATCGGCATACATACTTATTTCGACCATCTTTTACAGCTCTCCGAAAAAATCCTTTACAACCAAAGCAGGCCAGTACTCCGTAGTGTATCTGAATTGGCACGTCCATAAGCGCTTAGGATCTTTAAAGACCGAAAGGTAACGCAGAGCAAAGTTATTCCTTACTTTGGCAGGTGAATCCCCGCAGACAGCACATTTTCGCTGACCTTTGCTACTTATCATGAGAACGTCTTCCTGTGAATGTGTGGATCTCATATAATATTGGGTAGGGTAGATATACCTCGTAGAAAAAACGGGTAAAATCGATAGAAAACAGTCGGCGTCGATCAAACAACGGTTCCGCGGAGCAGCAACGAGTAATAGAGTGAGGTGAGCATGAGGGTGACGGATGGCAAAGTCAGGCACGGGTCGTCGGGGTTGGGAACTGTTCACCGAATATTGTGTGCATATGTACTTTGTGACGTCATCTGCTGGCTTTCAGAGTGCATATTCGAAAGTTTTTTTTCTAATAGTTTTCACAAGAGAAGCCTCAGCATGGCGTTAAGATAGTACAGTAAGACGCAAGACCGAGATTTTCAGGGATGCTTCAAAATTGGAGAAGTTGAACTCACGAGCAGCTGGCGTA